CTTTAATGTAGAGTCATATGGCCTTCCTGCTTTACTACAATATGGTGTATGTGATATAGAAGCTTCTACTAAATTAGATTTGATCATCTCAAATTGAACGGTTTCAAATAACATCTATGCCATGTCTATTTACATTTAAAATTGTTGATAGATTTCTGAATCACTGCTGACTTTGATTATATACAGTTGGGTGTAAATTGTTAATTTTGAGGAAAATTTTGGTTAAAACTGCTATGAAATTCAGATAAAATGTAAATAATTTCTGAAATTTTGAAATAGGACTTTGTCTTGAAGCGTGGGACAATGATAAGGATGTTTGGTATTTAGTAGAACAATATGCAATTCATAATTATTTGACCAAGGGCAATTCCAGCACAACTTTTATAAGTATCAGTACTTGGACATTCTAGAGTTTGTTCTAATTCTTTAATGAGTTTGTGAGGTTGTGATTTTAGAATTTGTAGTTGATATTTGGCACAAGCAGAGTGAATGTCATCGAGGTATTGACGTTTATTGATTTTGAACAGTAAGTGTCATTATTTTCTTAATTCTGGCACATCCGATCGTGGACTATTTTAACAAATTTCTATCTATTCTTTTTGCAGTTCAGGATTTGGGGCAGTTGGCCGTTTGTGCTATAACAACAACAAATCTAGCGCCACACGGGAGGAGGCATCACAAGATAAATTTTATTTATAGTAGTGAAAGTAACAAAATGTGGCAAATATAAGTTTTGCTTTTTAATTACTTTGTATTATTTTTTCTCTGGCAGTTCTCCTTCCTTGACTTGATGGCAATCTTGGGGGAAGGGTCTTTTGAGCTCAGAGATCATGGGAAGATGTATTTGAAGGGATCTTCTTGATTACCGCATCAGGCCGCTGTTGTTGCTGATGCTGAACTGTGCCCATCTTCTGCTGGACTGTTGTATGAAAGCCGAACGCTGTTGAGCGATTACGAAGGTCAGTGAAAGCGAACTGTTCTCCTGCTGTACATGATGATGCTGCACGTGATTGCAAAGTGCTGCTCATAGGACCTGGCAACAGATGTCTCCTTTGACTGTTGCTTTTCATGCCGGGCTGATAACAAAAGGGACTCAAGCGTTATCTGGGGGAGTCTTCTATGGCTGGAAATCAGCAGTGAGTCGGGACCACAAAGATCATAGACAAACCCGGACGGGGGCTTCAGTAGATGACTGGTCTGCTGGTTTCTATGTCCTGCTCTGTCGACCACGAAAGGCTGACCAAAGTTCATCAAAGCGGGACTGTATCCAGATGTTTCTGCACTGCTGAGCAAATGACACCAAGTTCTGTGTTGATTTCATAAATTTAATCAAACATTAGAATTCTTTGATTGAGGTGTGCAGATTGTAACAGCATCTGGGACACCATGTTTGAATTGCATCCAACTGTGTTACATGAGGCTAAAGTTAGTGGTGATAGCGGATTTCATCTCAATGAGTTGTATAGGATTTTTATTGTATTCTATGACAGAACATTTGTTCTGTTATAGAAACAGGGGGACATGAATGGAATTGATCTGATAGGCAAATTTTTAGTTTGGATCTCTGCATTTACTTTTCGGAAAAAGAGGTTATTGAAGTTAAATCAAAATACATTAAATGTTTTACGGTGTATTAACAGCATTAAAGATGAGCTAACTATTTGGATATGAAATAAGTAAAATGTATAAATTGAATATACTAAACAAAATATTGACTATCAAATAATTTACATAAAATAGTGTTCTTAAACTAAGGAAGGTGATCATTGGATTGTTGTATCTCTATTCATATGTTTTAAAATAAGTTGTTTAACTAAGACATCCAGGAAGGTCTAAACTAAAGATTTACATCATTTAATAAATTTAGCTGTATTGAATCTCTCTCCAAAACTGAAAAGGCATTGATAATTGATAAACAATATAAAAAGGGTAATACATTATTCAATTAAATATTTTATAAATAGGTTTTCAAATGAATAAATGGATCAAAGGTAAAAATGGTTGAAATTTTTGGGATTTAAAATATGATTGGAATAAAGTAGGTCATTTTTGATATTTAGTGACTCATGTAAAGCAGGCTGATCATTCTTTAAGGTTTTAAAGAATAGAAAATATGATGATTGAAATTAAATTGGTCTAAATTGGAGATTTACAAATTAACAGTTATGGAACTGCTTCTAAAATACAGTTAAGTTTTGGGTTTAACATGATAGGAAACTTTCATTTCTCATGTAGGCCTTATATAAAAAGAGGGTCAAAGGATTGATAAAATACAACTCCAAAGTAGCAGATTTATAATACAAAAGGAAGACAGTGAAGCTGTCATAAAGTGTAGGATCAATCATTAACCAATCAACAGGGTTCCCTCCATATGAGCTCCAGACAGGACGGATGTTTCCAGGACCTGCTACCCGCATTCCAGGATGGAAAGGTAAGCTTGCACATTTATCTCATAAAGATTTCTTCAATGAGTTACAGGTCCTGGCAGCAGAATTTACAAAATACCAGACGTCACAGGAACGTCCAGGCTCGGGATCAGTTCGGGGAATCGACTGGGTGCGCCTGATGGTCATCAAAAGAAAGTGGTCTGAACCTCGCTTCGCCAGACCATACCGAGTCGTGGAGAGTACATCTCAGGCTGTCCGTCTACAAGAGAGAAGGAGACACGTGGTTCCATTGGAGTCAGCTGAGGAGCCACAACGCACGCTGCAGGGCATACAGGAGAATCTACAGTCTCAACCTGCGGTCGAGGAGTGTCTGAGGGCCATCACAGCGCGGAGGAGGATCTGCATTTCCGGGCAGAAGTCTGCCAAAACCACTTCATTTTCCTGAATTACAAGGCTTAAAAGGCCCAGACAGGCACAATAATCCTGTTCCGGTGTCCTTCCATTGAGAAAAGGAGATTGCACCCTCTCCTTAAACTCACTGTTAAATTGGCATAATACTCCAATTTTCAGTGAGCAACGGACACTCAGGTGGAAAACCTGAGGTTTACAACCGAGGAGGAACACGTGAAGGATCCAGCTACAAGATCATCATTAACTTATCTTCTTTTTATTGCGTGTTTTCGTTTTTTGCGAACCCTTCAAGAACATTTGTTTCTTTTTGCCCGTATTTTTGGATCGTTTCCTGACGAAGAATTTATATTCATTTTTGAAAGACTATCGAAGGAGCATAGAGACGAACTCTAACTTCTTATTGTTGAATTGTGAAAAAAAGAAAAAAGGTCTTTTGTAATTTTTATGTGTTTATGATGTATTTTTTATGTTGTTATTGTTTTGTATTGACAAATTGTAATTTTTGTGGCGAGTATTGTCTTTTGAGTCTGCTGAGCATTTTTTGGTAATTTCGAGATATCTTGCTTTGGTTTTCTAATTTTATACTTGGGCTAATATTTCTATTGTGTGTTTTCTTCTATTGACATAACTGAGTTTTATGATTTTTCATGTTTGATAAGTGAAATGTATTTTTAGTTTAGTTTTTACTGGTTAAAATTTTGTGGTTCATCAGGTGAGTATTAAATTGTTGGACAGCGCAAGATACATTTGATAAGTTTAGATTATGGAGTTCAGCTTCAGACACATGGCCTGGCAGGGGACCTAGGAGGTGTTGTTTAAAAAGGGGACTGTTATAAAATTGGGCTAATGTTTTAGTTTTTTAGTATACTAAATAATTTTTTGGTTCCTCTATTAGAAGGCTTAATCATTTTATTTGTGAGGTCTGTATGTCTCAGACCTCAAAACGGGGACTGTTAAAGAAAAATGATTATTTTTTAGACTTTAATACAGTTAATCTTATGGCATGTGTAAACACTCTCACTTGAACATATTTCTTAATTTTGAACAAGGCTGTGTTAATGATTTAAAACTACTAATGGATAAGTATTTAGACCACCAGCCCATAGAATGAGTATCTCCTGGGGGGTGAATAACAGTTAAGCCTGCAGGAGAGATTTCTGCTTGGTTTACAGAAGGTCAAAAGTCTTCCAGAATAAACAACCAGGGATGGTGAGGCCCCCCGCATTCCACAAGCTGTCTGTGAGAGCTTATCTTGTGTTTTATGACTTTAGGAATTCTAGATGCCAGGACAAGCTTTCCGCCTTTTCTTGTTAAAACAAAGAAGCAAATGACCCCAGATGTTTGCAGTAAATAAGGGGAAGCCCTAGCAGTGTCAGAGATGGCGTTTGGTTGGAGGACCGAGGGCCAGCCCTTTTTGAATGGATTAGATACAAGAGGATAAAGCTTTCTAAATAGAAGAAAAAGATCAGATTTGCCCTTGCAACTCTCCAAAGATGTCTCTGTACTCTTTGCTTTCTTTCCTCCTATGTCAGGTAATGGAATGTGTAGTGGCAATTGTTTGTCAAACCAAACATCCAATAAAATTCCAATAAGCCACTATAGGCACTGGGGTCACGTTTTCTTGACGCAGGCAAAAGAAGTGGAAGTCCAAACTTGTAGATGTTTTGTTGATTTATTTCCTATATTTTGTCACATTACAGAGTTCACACTTTCCTTGCTCTGTCACCTCTCTTGCACTGGTAAAAACCCATAGGCCCCTAACCCAAATGCCTGCTGGTCCTTACCAGGCTCCTACAATTATAGAAAGTGGACCGCCCACATTTCTTCCTGTTTTACATAAAATAAAGAAAAATAATAAAACAACAAAAAATAGATGCACAAAAATGCAACAATTAACCTATAAATTAAGTCTGTAAATAATACAAAAAATATATAAGTTTAGAAATTAACACAATTCAAATAAATAAAGAAATAAAGAATAAATAGCTCCAACACTCCGGCCCCTAATTGTGAATACTGTCACAATTACAAATGAAGAAAAAGGAGCTATTCCCTCAAACATGTCCTTAATTCCTCAGGTTGATGCTTCCAGTAGCAAATAAAGTTTGGTCACGGGTCTTTCGAGAACACTGGTCTTTGTTTGTAATCGCACAGAGCGGACCAAGCCTTTTGCATCCTGGTTTACGCTCAAGACCTTGGCCATCATCCATGTTCCTCTTGGAGCTGTAGAGTCTGCAATTAAGACAACATCTCCAGGAGTGAGACATCGTTTAGTTCTTGTCCATTTTTGTCTTTCCTGCATCAGAGGTAAGTACTCAGAAAGCCATCTTTTCCAGAACAGCTCTGCCATGTATTGCACCTGTTTCCACCTTTTCCTGACAAAAAGATCCTTTTGATTGAACAATCCTGGTGGCAAAACTGGTTTGGTTTTTAACAACAACAAATGGTTGGGTGTTAGTGCCTCAAGATCATTTGAGTCATCGGAAACTTTAGTGATGGGTCTGTCGTTTAATATGGCTTCAACTTCACAAAAAATAGTTTGAAGCCCTTCATCATCCAAAACTTGCTCTTTAAGAACTGAAACCAAAATACTTCTTATGGAACGAATCAGACGCTCCCAAACTCCACCTTGGTGAGATGCTGCTGGGATGTTAAAGTTCCATTTAATTCCATCCTGCACAAAAGCATTTTGAATTTTAGCATGATTCAGTTCAGCTAAACTCTCTTTCAGCTCTCGATTTGCACCAACAAAATTTGTGGCATTGTCAGATCTGATGGTGGAAACTGGGCCTCTTCTACAGATGAACCTGCGGACTGCATTTATACAGGAATCTGTATCGAGGGTGTAGGCCATTTCCAGATGCACTGCACGGCTGGTGAAACAAGTGAACAGAACTCCATACCTTTTCAGGAGGCTTCGTCCTCTTTTAACACTTACAGGACCAAAGTAATCCACTCCAACATTTGTAAAAGGAGCGGTGGCTGGCAGGACTCTTTCTTCTGGCAGATCTGCCATCTTTTGTTCAATAAACTTTCCTCTGTTACACCTGCAAACAACACAGTGAGAAATGATTTTTCTGGCAGCTGAATTAGCATTTATTATCCAGTATTTTTGTCTTAATCTTGACAGCATATGAGCTCTTCCTGCATGTCCCAACTGTTGATGAATATGGCGTAAAATCAGTGTAGACACATGCATATCCTTTGTCAAAATTGCAGGATGCTTTGTTTCGACAGGCATGGCTGATTTATTCAACCTGCCACCCACTCTGAGGACTCCAGCATCCAATACTGGGTCGAGTTTGTATAAAGAACTTCTCTTAGAGACTGCTTTAAGGCCACTGGTGATTAAAGCCAGTTCAGTTGTAAATTTCTGTTGTTGTGCAAACTGAATAATGGCTAGTTCTGCCTTGGCCAAGTCTTCAGGAGTCAGATTTTCTGTCTTCAGAGTGGTCTTGAATCTTTCTATCTGCTTGTCTAGGGCTTTGTTTTGCTTTTCTGGTTCATTTTTATTTATGTCTGCAGCAGCAAACTCCTTCCTTTTCTGTTGCAACAGCATCAGAATGTTTTTCAGCTTTAAAAACCAAGCAACAGAGGTTTTAAGCTTTGTCCAAGATGAAAAATAATGAATCAGATAGCTTGTAGGATTTTGTGACTCCTTCACAAGAACACTCACGGCTAGGTCCCTTTTGACCTCTGGGTCATCTGCAGGAATTGCATGGTGATCCACATCCAGTTTAGGCCATTCCTCTTCTGATCTGTGGAGAAATTCAGGCCCATTTATCCATCTCCTGCATTTAATGAACTCCTCAGCTCTCATGCCTCTGGATGCATCATCTGCAGGATTTTCCTTGGAGGAAACATATCTCCACTGATTCACATCTGTTGCTTCTCGGATGACAGAGATCCTGTTTGCAACAAAGGTGTGAAATCTTCTGGTTTCACTGGAGATATATTTTAGTACTGTTGTACTATCAGTCCAGAAAACAGGTTTTTCCAATTGTATTTGCAGCTCCTTTTGCAGCAGTTTATTGACTCGGACAGCAAGAACAGCAGTGGTCAGTTCCAACCTGGGGATTGTTGTTTGCTTCATAGGAGCAACTCTTGCTTTTCCTAGAATGAAAGCAACATGTGAGATGTTATTCTTTTCCAGTTTTAAATATGACACTGTTCCATAGCCGTCTTGACTTGCGTCAGAGAAATGATGAAGTTGTGCTTTGTCTGGTTTCCTGATGCAGCTTGGTTTGATGCAACGATCCACCTTAAAACTGGAGATCAGCTGGAGGTCCTCCAGCCAGTCGAGCCACTTCCTACAAAGAGAATGGGGAATAACTTCATCCCACTTCAAGTTTTGTCGACAAAGTTCTTGTAGCAGCAGTTTAGCTGGCATACTGAAGGGAGCTAGGATTCCCAAGGGATCATATAGTGAACTAACCACAGACAAAATGCCCCTTCTGGTCTGTGGGCGGTCCTGCACAGAGGTTCTGAACTTGAACTCATCTGTTTCGATGCTCCACTGTAAACCCAGTACTCTCTCGACCGGAAGTTCATCTGTGTCCAAATCCAGATTCTTCATTTCTTTTGCTTTCCTTTCCTCTGGAATGGACATGAGCACTGTGCGACTGTTGCTTACCCATTTTGAGAGCACGAATCCTCCCTTAGAGCAGAGGTCCGTCAGCCTCTTCACCATGTGAATTGCATCTTCTTCTGTGGGAACAGATTTTAAACAGTCATCCACATAAAAGTTATTTTTGATAGTATCAACCACTTCAGCTGGAAACTGTTGTGCGTTATCATCAGCAGTTCTTTGCAGAGCATAATTTGCACAGCTGGGTGAAGACACTGCTCCAAACAAATGAACCAACATCCTGAACTCCTGTGCAGGTTTTGATGTGTTACCATGATGCCACCACAGGAAACGGAGGAAGTTGACATGTTTTTCAGAGACATAAACTTGGTGAAACATGGCATTAATGTCAGCCATTAGTGCAACAGGCTCTTTTCTAAATCTAATGAGAACTCCAACCAGAGAGTTTGTGAGGTCAGGTCCCTGTAAAAGCTGACTGTTCAGTGATGCTCCTTTATAGGTTGATCCACAATCAAATACAACTCTCAACTTTCCTTTTGTGGGATGATGCACTCCATGATGAGGAATGTACCACAGTTGTCCATTACCTTTCTGTAGGTCCTCTGCTGGTACAGCCTCAGCATGTCCTTGCTGCAGCATGTTGTTTACACATGCAGTGTATTCCTCCTTGTACTCAGCATCCTTTTCAAATCTCCTTCTGAGGCTCTGGAGGCGCTGCTCTGCAACACAGATGTTATTTGGAAAGCAGGGGCTTTCACTCCTGAAAGGTAAGTCAATATTATAATGACCTTTAATAAGTTTTGTAGAGTTATTGACAATGTTCATGAAATGCAAATCCTCTCTAGACATTTCAGTTTTCTCCTCTGATGATCTTTCGTTAAAATCATGATTGTACTGTTTGATCAGCATTTCTTCAAGATGCTCAACAGAGATCCTGTTGGCTGTCACAGCAGTGCAAACATTTCTATTTTTGCTGTGGCTTCTAGTGTGCAGGGGACCATTTATGACCCAGCCAACTTTAGTTTTTACAGCATAAGGCCCACCATCTACACTGTTGATCACCTCCCAGGGCTCTAAAACATTTGAAGCATCAGTTCCTATCAGTAGTTCCACATCTGCATTGATGCTATGAAGCTTAACAGGTTTAAGATGAGGCCACTGATCAATGTCCTTTTGCTGGGGAATATTCAATGTAGAAACTGGCATGGTACTTTGAGTCAAAACATCTGGTAGCTCTATGAAATCATTTGTTTCCAATTCAGAGATTTCCAAACCAGACAAAACTTGTACATTAACAATCTTATTTTGACTCATTGTTCTCAGCATAATATTTGTTCTTTTGCCCTTTATGTTCAGACTTTTTGCCAGAGTTTCTGTACAGAACGTACCTGAACTTCCTGGATCAAGAAATGCATAAGTTTGCACAACTTTGTTGCTCTTTTGACTTTTAACTTTAACTGCAACAATAGAAAAAACAGCATTATCATCATGACCAGCCCCAATATGCCCACACGTCTGGGTGGTTGCAGTTGAGAAGTTGACATGAGAACTTGTTGTCTGTTGGCTTTGTTCTGAAGAGGCTCCTGGCTCCTTTTGTTGTATGTGAAGAACCCCTGGATGCTTTTGGTGACACACATTGCAATCCAAACGACTCCTGCAGTCTTTGCTTGTGTGACCAACTTTCAGACAACCGAAACAAATCCCCTTTTGTTTAATGAAAGTCAACTTGTCCCGATGCATTTTAGCTTTAAACTGCACGCAGTTTTCCAGTAGATGATTTCTTTGTAAACAAAACAAGCAGCTGTGAAGAACAGTAGACTTGGTCCTGTTTTCAGTTGAGTGAGTTCTGGCTTCTGGAATTGTGCTGACATTAGTGGCAAAACTGCTTCCCTTTTTTCTTTGCTTGCTGTAACTTGGATCTTTGGAGTTGTTCCCTGTTGGTGGGTCTTGGATATTGCCAAACACTGGATCTGATGCTACTTTTACTTCCTTTGTTATGAAAGCAACCAGATCAGTAAACAACGCTCGGTGACCAGTTTGCTCCTGTAGCTCATAAGCAGTAACTCTCCATTTTTCCCTCAGTTTATATGGAAGTTTCAGGACAATTGTTCTCATATTTGAAGGTAAATCCAACTCCTTCATGTAAACAATTTGTTGTGTCAGATTTGAACAACCTTGAAGAAAAAGAGAGAATGATTGTAGACTTTTCACATCATCCCCTTTTATTGGTGTCCAACTCATAATCTTCTCCATATACGCAGAAGTTATTTTATTTTCATTTCCAAAATGTTCTTCAAGAAGATATTTGGCTTTGGAATAACCTTCCTCAGAAGCTAAGTGTTGACAACTATGCACGAGATCTTTAGGCTGCCCCCTGGTGAACTGCTCTAGGAAGTGCAAACAGTCGCTGCAGTTGTCAGTTTTAGCCTCCACTCCATTCTCAAAGGCATTCATAAATGATCTGTACTGTAGGGGGTCCCCATCAAACACAGGGATGTTTCTGGATGGGAGAACAGACGATAAGTTTTGTTTTACTAGTAAGGCTGCAATGTCATTTTGTCTTTGCATGATGTTTACAATATCATTCTGACAGTTCTCAGTCAAAGGAGGAGATTGAAGTTGCGTCTGCTCTGTTGCTTGAGTTGAAGAATCAACTTTAACTCTCATCTGATCCATTTGAAGTTGTCTCTCTCCTTGTTTAAGTCTGACAACAGGGAAGTTGGATGAAGACTTTTCTTTTTCTTTCAGAACAAACTCATCAGCGAGAGGATTTAGCAGGGGCGTGTGCTTTCCTTGGGCTCTTTCAAAATAAGAGTTCATCCCATCAGATTGTTTAGAACTAGCAACTGAATTTATTTTTAATACATTAAGTTTTGCGTTAGTTGCTGCCAACTCTGTTTCCAGGTCTAACTTTTCCTTTTCTTTTCTCAGGTTTTCCTCTTGAGCTTCGATCAGATGTTTTCTGTCCAACGCGGCGAGTCTCTCCATCAGCGCTGCCTTTTCAGCCGCAGCTTTAATGCGTGCAGAAGAGGTGGATGAAGCCCGAGACTGCTGTGAAGATGTTTTTGAACGTGGCTTTATGCTTGTAATATTAGAAACATTGTCTTCAGGATTTATTTCATCAGGATCTTCAACAACCTGATCATCAACATAGTTTTTCTGTTCCATATATGGATCTCCTGCTTCTGTCAACCAAACCTTTACATTGTCCACAAAATCAGGGAAAGTCGTCACCTTGGACTGAAAATACACAGTTTGTCTTTTTACTTCTTCTTCTGGCAACGGCAAACCTAAAAGTGATTCATGTAAATCAGTTGCGTCTTGATAGCATTTAATAAACTTTGCAAAGTCAGAAGCCACTTTCTCAACATTTTCTTGTGAGGTCATTAATGCAGAGATTTTCTCCATACATTTTGAAGCTTGTTTACACTTTAAACTTCGTTTTTCTTGACATGTTTTTATATAAAACTCCAAACCCTTTTGTGTAAATTTGATGGTTCTTTTGTTTTGTGACGTCTGGGTGTCATCCTCTTTGCTCTTTACATCAGACATTTTTGCAGATTCTTTGAATCATTTCAAACATTTAAAGCGTCATAGTCCACGAATAATCCACAAGGAAAAGCACAAACGTATCTCTTTGTTTAAAGAGATTGATTCTTGTGAACAAACATTTCCATGATGGGCGTCGGCTCACGGCTTGATCCAATTACGCATCAATTTGTCACATCAGACTCATCTCATCAGTCTTTGGAGTGAAATAATGTCTTTAAACTCCAGTAGTTTCACTATTTTCCTTTATAGCTTGAACAATATTGTCACATACCAGCTTGATGAATGAGTGACATGTCCATCCAAGTCTGACGCATCAAGTCGCTTGATTTAATCAAAGATGATCCAAAACCTTTTGTTTGAAGGGAATCCTTGAGATCCATAAATCCAGCATGTTGATTGATGAGGTATTCCTTTTAGTCCATGGGCTGGTTCCTTACTTGTTCCACAGGGTGTTTTTACTTGATCCACAGGTGGGTTTTTACTTGAGTGTAGTGGCAATTGTTTGTCAAACCAAACATCCAATAAAATTCCAATAAGCCACTATAGGCACTGGGGTCACGTTTTCTTGACGCAGGCAAAAGAAGTGGAAGTCCAAACTTGTAGATGTTTTGTTGATTTATTTCCTATATTTTGTCACATTACAGAGTTCACACTTTCCTTGCTCTGTCACCTCTCTTGCACTGGTAAAAACCCATAGGCCCCTAACCCAAATGCCTGCTGGTCCTTACCAGGCTCCTACAATTATAGAAAGTGGACCGCCCACATTTCTTCCTGTTTTACATAAAATAAAGAAAAATAATAAAACAACAAAAAATAGATGCACAAAAATGCAACAATTAACCTATAAATTAAGTCTGTAAATAATACAAAAAATATATAAGTTTAGAAATTAACACAATTCAAATAAATAAAGAAATAAAGAATAAATAGCTCCAACAGAATGTATGTCTCTGATGTTCTGCAGTTTCTGGTGTAGGTTTGTGCATTGTCTTATTTCTAAGTTTATGCATTGTCTTATATTGGATTAAACTCTGTAATTCTGTGATGTCAACACGCCTTGCTGATTTTCATAGTGACCACACGCAGCTCGCCGAGTGCACCTGGGAAAGGAAGAGAAACAGCCAACCTTTTTCCAAAGTTAACTATGTTAGAATATTTTCTTCCTTTACACTTCCTAGCAGACATGATGATGAATCTGCTGCGACTGCAGACCTTCTTTCTTTCTTTCTTTTTATTTATTAATTTATTCTTTTTTTTCTTTTGTTGGTCGGTAAACAGCAGCTACGTTATTACCTTGATCAAAGAAATCTTTTTATGCAGACTGGGCACCTCCGGGCATATTGCTGCCCCCTTCAGGACACTGGCTTGTAACATTTCATGGACATTACGCTGCTGTGCGTTATGTATAAGTTACCGTAGGCTGTCTTTGGACAGACGCTCGGGGCTTGATATGAATACTCTATGTATAAGCTCAAAATTGAAAAAATACATAGAAAGTTCAGCGGATGCCAGCGTTTTAGGAGATTATGGGACATCAGGCATACACAGTCTAAATTAAGCTGTGACAGGGGTTGAAGGTTTTGACAAACAGAAGCTGTGTTTTTATAACCATTAAATTGCGTAAATTGTAATTATGAAAATAAATTTGTGAAATAGAAACACTGCAAATTAAAGTCACATTTTTTCATAAAACTAATTTTACGCTTTAATGAGATGGTTTTTCACTTGTATTCAAATTATTATTTTGCAAAACTGCAATAGAAACAACTTACTGCCTTGTAAAAAGACAAAGAAGAAGACCCCAAGTAGTTGAAGAATGATGACTTAGCTTATTCGGATTGACTAATTGACAACGATTGGCGTGATGAGCACTAGAGCCTTGGCTGAAATATGTCTCATATGTTAACATACACCACTGACATGTTTTCAATAGTTATCCTGTGCACAAACCTCTTACAATTTTAATTGAATTTCTTATTTAACGTAAATACAGCAATTGCTAAAATTTGCATTTTAAAAATTTGCAGAATATCGATATTCTTTTGCGGACATTTGTAATGGAAACAGCTGCTGAGGATTTTAGGACACATGTTATCCAACCGTTTTGTCTGGTATGCTTTATGAGCTTGAGCTGCTCAGTAGAGAAGTGGATAGCAATGCTGCCTTGCAGCAAGAAGGTTCTGGGTTTGAGTCCCGGCCCTGGGTCTTTAACAGCATGGAGTTTTGCATGTTCTTCCTGTGCATTCGTAGGTTCTCTCCTCCCACAGTCCAAAAATGGTGGCGATTAATTGGCTTCTCTAAATCCTCCTTGGGTGTGTGTGTGAATTGTTGTTTGTCTCTGTGTTGCCCTGCAATGGACTGGCGACCTGTCCAGGGTGTACCCTGCCCCTCCTCCATAGGCAGCTGGCACCAGTACCCCTTGCGACCCCACTTGTGATAAGTGTGACAGAAAATGGGTGGATGGGCTTTATGAGCTTCAAAATCAAAGCAGCTGTCTATTACTGCAACGGTGTTTTCACAGGTCTGCCTAAAAAGTTGATCAGACAGCTAAAGCTGATCCAGAACGCTGCTGCCCGTGTCCTCACTAAGACTAAGAAAATAGAGCACATCACCCCAGTTCTAAAGTCCTTACACTGGCTCCCTGTATCTCAGAGAACAGACTTTAAAATACTTCTGTTAGTCTATAAATCTCTGAATGGCTTAGCACCTAAATACATCACAGACTTGCTAT